GCTTTCCCCAGTGCACCCCTGCCCAGCGTGGAGCTGGATGGGAACAGCTCCTGCTCCAGGGAATGAGCTTGGAGCAGTGTTCCTCCTGATGCCTCTCTCCTTCCAGCCAGCAAAAGAGAGACTGTGGGACAAACCCTCCTTCAGAAAGCCCAGCTCAGCGAGCCTAAAAGCTCCTCTGCAGTCCGGCAGCCGAGCCCCCCTGCACCCCGGGAGGGGTCCAGGTAAGATTTCCTGCTGTCCCCCATGCTCCAGGCACCAGCTCCCATCTGCTGCAGGTTTGAGAGGAATCTGCTGCCCCACGCGGATCAGCGGTGGTGCAGAAGCTCTCTCAGACCGGCCTCCTCGCCAAACAGGACATACCTGTGGTTTTCTTGTCTGCAGTTTGTTTCCAGATGCCTCAGACCCTCGGGATGGTAAAAGCGACACAGAGTCCATGGAAAACATGAGCCTGGACAGCTACAGACCTAGTCCTGCTGATGTGGGGGGCAGGTGAGAGGATCCTGAGGTGGGTTGTCCTTGGCAAGACTGGCTGGCAGAGGAGGAGACCTTCATCTGAAGTGTGTTTTTTCTCAGTCTAGCGAGGGGAAGCTGGCTCCTCTGGCTGGGCTGAAGCCTGTCCCTGGGCAGGAAGGTCCTCTGTGCCCAGGCTGCTACGGGCAGCTCAAATGGCACTTTCTGGCCAGCACTTCCTCTGCACACTGTGCTTGTGGCCTGGGACAGACCTTTCTGTGTCTGCCACAGGAGGAACTCCCTGGAGAGAGCTGTCCCTGGAAAACAGGTTGTTGTGCCAGCAGGACCTGCTTCCTCCAGCCTGACGCTCCCTCTCCGCTCCAAAAACGCGTTCTCTGATGGACGGGTGCGTGACGCTGCTCCAGCAGGCACAGCCCTGTCCTGGGGCATGGGGCTGGGCACCCCACAGGGCTCCTAGCCCTGCCCTGCTCTGAAGGGACTGTTCCTCCCCAGGATGCCACCGTGGGGACCCGCAGCAGCACCTGCGAGCATGAAACCATATTCAAGAAGAACCCCCGGCGGGTGGTGAGGCCTGCGGGTGAGAGATGTGCGGGTGCTGGCACGGCCGGGGTGGGCAGCCCCTCCTCCCTGGGCTGTGAAGGGCTTTCAGTGCAGATGGGAGAGGCTGGGGGAGCCCCTTGTGTGAGGGAGCAGCAGGGCTCTGCTAATCCTGCTCATGCCACTGCCTCCTGCTCACCACCTCTCGTGCAGACTACACCAAGTCCGTGATCGACCTGCGCCCCGAGGACCTTGTGGGGGAAGGTGGCTCTTTGGGGGACAGGAGCAAGTCGGTCCCTGGCCTCAACACGGAGCTGGTGAGACCCTCAGAGTGCCACAGAGATGGCTGCTGGGTGGAGGAGCCGAGTGGCTGGCTGGCTGTGCCTGAGCACTCCCCACACAGGCGGTTTGTCTCTCTCCTTCAGGAGGAGGAGGAGGAGGACATCGATAACCTGGTGGAGATCCACCGGCAGCGGGTGGCCCGGGGCAGCATGCGCAGCGGCACCTCCTCGGTGAGCTCCCGTGGCTGTGCTCCTCTCCACTGCAGGGAAAAGTGATGGAGAAAGGCACTGCCAAAGGGCTGGGGGGAGGGAGGCAGGGCAGGCAGCTCACTGAGGGAAGGGGTAAGAGCCTTGTGTGGGGAGGCTTCTTCTCCTAGAAGGGAATCAAAATGCGAAGACTCATCTCTATCCAGGCAGCTGTGTGTGGGTGGGAGGTACTTGTGGCCATCCCCAGCCATGGGGAGGCAGGTGGGGCTGTGCAGAAGAGGCACAGGGAATAACCTTGCTGAAGAGGGGCTCTCAGGTGATCTTGTGCCAGCTCAGCCCTGCCACGTCTTCCAGAGCACGCTGGGGAGCATGGTCAGCATTTACAGCGAGGCCGGCGACTTCGGCAGCGTGGCTGTCACCGGGGGCATCTCCTTCTCCCTGAGCTACGAGCAGAAGACGCAGACCTTGTTCATTCACGTGAAGGAGTGTCGCCAGCTGGCCTATGGCGACGAGGGCAGGAAGCGCTCCAACCCGTGAGAGCAGGGGGAGAGAGCTGCTGGCACCGCTGGTGGTGCCCAGCCGGGTTGTGGGGTCCCACCAGAGATGGGAGCTGTAAGTGGGAGGGTCCTGCTGAGGCAGAAGGTCTGGGGTTGCCCTGAGGAGGAGCTCGGAGGATTGATTGTGGAGGGGCCTTGTTGAAGTGCTGCCTGTTCTCCCTTCAGGTATGTGAAGACCTATCTCCTGCCCGACAAATCCCGGCAAGGGAAGCGCAAGACGACCATCAAACGCAATACCATCAATCCCCTGTACAACGAGCTGCTGAAGGTGAGTGGGGATGGGCTGGGCTGCAGCTACTCAGGGGATGCTGCTGGAACAAGCAAGGGGAGGGGTGAGCTCCTAACGCTGCAGAGGGGTCTTTGCAGGGGACCCGTGTCCAGAGACTGCAGCCTGAAATCCCTGCACTCCCAGCTCTGCTGTGGCCGTGCTGCCAAGCCCCAGTGCCACGGTGGGCTGGAGGCACAGCTGCAGATGTGACCGTGTCACAGGACATGTCCCTGGTTCCTGTGGTGCTCCCCAGAGCAAAGGCATCCTGCTTACCCTGGGTGTTTCATTCTTCAGGCTTCCTGGCCCCTCGAGTCAGGTCACAGTGGCAGGAGGGAGGGCAGCACACCACAGGGGCAGAGATAAGACAGTTCTGGGCCCCAGGACAGAACAACTTCGCACTGCCCTTCACCATCCCTGCTGGCTGGCTCTGTCCCTGAGCCTGGCAGAGCACCTCTGAGGCCAGGCACTCTTGTGCAGGAGGAAGTGAGAGCTGTGGTTTGGTTTTTAGGCTCCCACAGCCAGGTTTGCTGAGGTCTTGTGCTCTGACCACCTGAGGCTCACTGGGCTGGCAGAGCTCTGCTTGTGGTGGGATGGCTGGATGAGTCCTGGCTCTGAGGACCATCCATCTGCTGGGAGAGCACAGGCTCCTGCACTCTGCCCTGGGACTCTGAGCTTTCAGCAGGCGTGGAAAAAAACAGGAGCTCCTGTGCACATCCATTGCTTCTCCAGCCTGTCTCCTCTCGTGCTCGTGAGCTGTGGCTGATGGAATTTGCCATTTGTCCTGTGCTGCCTGCCCACCAGTGGTTTTCCTCTCTGTCCCCAGTATGAGATTAGCAAGTCCCTCCTGCTCGCGAGGACGCTGCAGTTCTCGGTGTGGCACCACGATCGCTTTGGCCGCAACACCTTCCTGGGGGAGGTGGAGGTCCCCCTGGATGCCTGGAACTTCGAGAGCCACCTGGAGGAGTTCCTGCCCCTGCATGGCAAGGTGTGCCCCTGCCCCTGCAGCCTCCCTTGCCTGGTCCTGTTGGGGGTGTAGCCCTCAGTGGGCAGAGGGGTGTGGAGACCTCAGCATTGCTCAAAGGGACTTGTGCCAATGTTTGGAGATATGAAAACCCCAGATGCAGACAGCAGTGCTGTTGCAGTAAAAAAGGGCAGGCAGATCTTCTGCCTTGAACCTAGCTTCCCTCCTCCTTCCCTCCTCCTTGTCAGGTGATTGGGCCAAAATGAGATCCCAAAGGAGCTGGGCTCCACTGGTCATGCTGGGGAGAGTTTGCAGGCACTTGTGCCAGCTCAGCCACATCTAGAAGAAGCCAAGTCCTTTGTCCCAGCCTGAGGAGGTGCTGCACACCAGGCTGTCACTGTGTGTGCCATGGCTTCTCTGCAGTGCTTGGTAATTCTCACCTCTGTGCAGGTTGGGGCAGATGCTGCTGGTCTTCACCAGTACAAGGGCGAGCTGGTTGTCTCCATGAAGTACATCCCATCTGCCAAGCATCCCGGGGCTGGGAATGGCAGGAAAGGTGGGTGCTGGAGCTCCAGGATCAGTGTGCAGCCCTGCAGGAGCTACAGTTTGCAGTGGTAAAATTTAAATTGATTAATTTCTACTGTGCTGGGTTTTTCCTAGGCAAAACAGGGGAAGGTGGTGAGCTCCAGGTCTGGATCAAGGAAGCCAAGAACCTCACAGCAGCCAAGTCAGGGGGGACCTCAGACAGCTTTGTTAAGGGGTGAGTGAGGGTCCTGGGGCGGGGGGCACTGTCCGCCCTGGCTGTATTCCCAAAGCTGCTGGGGGACCTGGGGAAGGAACCCTTGCAGGGTGTCGTGGTCCCTCTCCCTGAGCTGTGCCAGGAAAGGCAGAAAAGGGGGCTCCAGGCCAGGTCCTGGGTGCTGAGGTGCCCCAGCCCCCCAAGCTGGTGCCCACGTGCTGCTAACCCAAGGGGCTGCTTCCCCCAGCTACCTCCTGCCACACAAAAACAAAGCCTCCAAGAGGAAGACGCCTGTGGTGAAGAAGACCCTGAACCCTCATTACAACCACACCTTTGTCTACAACGGTGTGAACCCCGAGGACCTGCAGCACATCTGCCTGGAGCTGACGGTCTGGGACCGCGAGCCGCTGTCCAGCAACGACTTCCTCGGGGGCGTCCGTCTGGGGGTGGGCAATGGTGAGGAGCCCACCGAGCTCTGGGCAGCAGCAGCAGCCTCGCTGGGGCTGCTGTGCTGCGGGCAGGAGGCTGCTCCAGCAGTGACTGATCCCATCCTTTTCCCCAGGCATGAGCAACGGGCAGGCTGTGGACTGGATGGACTCCACGGGCGAGGAGCTGAACCTGTGGCAGAAGATGTGCCAGTACCCGGGCTCCTGGGCGGAGGGGACGCTCCAGCTCCGCTCCAGCATGGCCAAGCTGAGGCTGTAGGCTGTGGCACCAGCACTGGCACTGCTGTCGGGAGCCTGGCAAGGCTGCCAAATACGCACCGTGTTTTCTTTTTACTTACACTTTAATAAACATGACCTTCTCTAAACAGGCTTGGGCAGAAAGTCTTCTTGGTTTAGCTTCATTAAAAGGGTTTTTCTCTTGTCATAAGCCTTGTACCAAATTTCAGGCTGAACTGGAGTCCCTGTGGACCCTCCCTTCTTCTTCCCCAGGCAAAATGCTTTGAAATGTCTTTGTGTTTTTATTTCTTCCCATTCTTTTTCCTACCACCCTGTTCCATGGTCTGCTCTCTCCTTTCCACCCTCTTCCCCATACACAGCCCAGCCCCAGCTGTGGCACTGGATGGATGGAACTGTGTGGGGTCAGCCTGGGAGGGCTGGGGATTGTGGTCTCCAGGAAACATTTGTTTCCCAGGCCTCTCAGTGACACATGTGCTAGCACTGACTTTTTATACAAATTTATTTATTTCAAGTTAATATTCTACTGCCAAAGCAGCTCCTAGAAAGGGTTCCCTGTGGGTGGTGGGAGAGGGAGGCAGTGGCAGGGGACACTGGAGTGGGGACTGGACGCTGGCTGGCTGCTGTGGGCTCTGCTGAGCGTGGGACCATTTGCTTTTTAATAAAGGCTTTCAGAGTGGGAGGCATCGGGTCCAGGTTGTGCCCAGGGTGAGCCGTGGGGAGGCTGAAGCTGCCGTGTTAGGGCTGTCACACTGCTGGCCAGCCTGCCCTCCCTGCCCTGCCACTCTCCCCTGGCTCCCCGTCTCCCCCTGCCCTGGATCTGAGCAGGGACACTCCAGTGTCTCCCGCCAGGGTCCCGACCCATCCCCAGCTGGAAACAGCTCCTGGCTGCTGGGCAGAGGGACACTGCTGGCAGCCGCTCCTGGCTCACCTCTGTGTGCCACAAGGGCCAGAGAGGGGCTCCCCTGCCCCGGAGCTCCCCGGGCCCTGCTCCTCCTCTACGGTGGCGACTAGAAAAGCAGAAAGGAAAGGTCCATCCCCGCGGGGCAGGGCGGGGGTCTCCCCGGGGCTGGCTCACTCGCAGGGGTCCCCGCTCTGTGCCCGCCTGGCCGCCTCACGCTCGCTCAGCAGGTAGGTGTCGATGAAGATGAAGAGCTCGTCGGGGCTCACCGGGGAGATGAAGCGCTCGCGGTCGGTGCCCGCCTTGTCCAGCAGCACCGCGTTGAAGTGGGAGCGTGTGAGGTGCAGGAAGCGCCTGCAGGTGCAAGGGGGGCTCGCTCTGAGGGCTGAGCCTGCCCACCTCTTGCAACATGCCCAGATCCTCCTGGAATAGGGGCTCCCACCTCTTCCTGGGGCTGAGAGCTCTGGGAAGCTCTGGTGACACTTGCAGGGGGCTCCCCCACTGCACCGGCCCCTCGGGTGCAGCAGAGAGGGGCTCCTCATCAACCCAGCTGCAACCTCAGCTTTGCCATTCCCAGGGCCATTCCCACTCCCTGTCCCCTGGAACAGCCGCATCTCCTGTGCTACCTGAGCTCCTGGATGATGCCGGGGGACAGCCGGTGCTCCCGGATCCGCCCCAGCTCGTGCGGGGGCTGCCCCAGCAGCTCCACCGTGCTGATGTGGCGCAGCTCCAGGCCGCAGGCAGCTTGCTGCGGACGGGGGGGACACTGAGGGGGTGCTGGAGGTGGGGAGGGGGCAGCAGGAAGGTCTCCTCACCTGCAGCATGGAGATCTGCATCTTGTAGTAGCGGTTAGAGGGGTCCGGGGCCGAGATGACGAAGAGTCGGCGTTTCTCGTGGAACTGATCCAGCAGGCTGGCGGCCGAGCTGACATCTGTGTTGATCTGCATGGCTGGGGCAAGACAGGCGTGTGGGGAGGTGCCACCGTGTCCCCCGTCACCCCTCTGAGCCATCAGGCAGCGTCCCCCAGAGCTGGGGGCACGGCCAAGCCCTGGCCGCAGCACTCACGGGCACACAGCGGCTGGGAGCCCGTCCAGTGCTGGCTGGCCTGGCACACCCGCACGGAGCTGCCCTGGCGCTCGTAGCCCCCGTCGCACAGGTACTCGCAGCTGGCACCGTAGTTGTTGCCGTCGGAGGTGCAGGAGATGTAGCCGTTCTGCGGCGGCCTCAGGACGGGGCAGCGCCTCACTGCAGGGAGGGGAGGCGGCTGAGGGCTGCGGGTGCTGGAGCGCAGCCCCGGCCGTGCCTGTGCAGCTGCGGGCGGCAGCGGGAGCCCCACGGGAGCCCGCTCACCCTGGACGCGGATGCTGAACTTGCAGCTGGCTCGGTTGTAAGCCTGGTCGTGGGCGGTGTAGCGGATCACATGCTCTCCCTCGGGGAATTCCGAGCCGGGCTCCGGGCCCCGCAGCATCACCCTGACCCGACAGACGGCGTTCTTCATCAGCATCCCGGGCAGGGCCACCGGCACGGCCTGCAGCCCCGGCTGGCAGCGCCTGCTCTGCCCTCACCTCTTGATGACACCGTCTGCAGAGTCCCTGACGCGGGGAGGGTCCCAGTAGACGGTGGCAGTCAGCTTGCCCGGCTCTGCTATGCGCTCCCGGGAGTCGGGACAGCGGATCTTGGGGGGCTCCAGATCTGCCCAGAGGGAGGAGAGGGATTCACGGAACCTGTGGATGCCTTGGCTGAGCTGTGAGAGCGAGGCCCGGTGCTGAAGCACCCCGGGGACCCCGGAGCCCCCCGGACATGCTGTAGAGCCGGCGCTGAGTGCCCCAGCCCCGGGCCGGTGCCTGTGCTCCAGGGCTAATGGCACTGCGGGGAGCAGCAGCGACAGGCTGCCAAGGGAGGGAGGCGCAGGAAATGTCCGGGTTGGATGTGGGGTGACACCTGCAGACACCCCAGGTGTGGGTGACGGGCTCCTGCCTGCCCCAGCAGCGTGGGGTGAGAATTTACCTACACAGACTGGCTCGCTCCCGCTCCAGCGGCCATCCTCCATGCAGACACGGCTCCGGTCCCCCTCCAGCTGGTAGCCGGGCAGGCAGGTGTAGTCACATCGGGAATCCATCTGCACGCCCGCCGAGCACACGTAGGAGCCCCGCAGCACCGCTGGCAGCACGTGGCACCGGATTTCTGGGATGGAGAGAGAGAGAACAGGGGAGGGAAGCGGCTGCGGCCCCGGGAGTGGGCACAGCCGCTGGGGCTGGCTGGCCGTGGGGCTGGCTGTGTGGC